AAGAGTCTTTCAAAACTTGCCTCATTCTTATGTTCCCTTCCCAGACATCTGGTACCGGCTGTTTGGAGAACTAGGGCACCACATAAACATCTCCAACCCATTGTGCCATTTCTCCTGTTCTTACAGAAAAAAAGCCTCATTAGGGGAAGCCCCACAATTATCCCTCATAAATGCCTGCCATTACAGTATTATCAGTTGTGTGAATAATTGCATGAGATCCATCTGGCCGACTGGCTAAAGGAAGTCACCTATGAGAAGTTACAGTAAGTGGAAGTGAGAATCACTGAAAGAGTAATGGCCTTGTGTTCCCTGCATAGCTTTGCATCTTGCCTCAGTCTTTTCTTAAACATACGCTGCTTCTCTACTTCTTTCTTAAGTTCATTTGAAAGAGATGTTTTTCCTCTGTAAAACTGAGGCAGTGGTTCTGGTACTATTGTCCGTGTAGAACTGGTTGTGTGATACGCTGTCTTTTTTTCCTTGGTTCTACTTAATAAATTGCATTAAAAGGGAGTAAAATACACAAGATTTTCATACTTATTTCATACCTATCTTCTTCATACTATTTTCTCATGTTAGCTGCAGCTGAAATTCCCATAAGAATGTTGTGTCATCAGTGATGGGCAGAGAATTGGGCCTCTCTGATGGTAAATGGGAAAAAGGGTGGGGTCTCCATTAAGATGTGTCTTAGCTTGTTCACCAAAGTGACCCTTCCCTTATGAGCTTAAACAAAATGAGGACCTGTTTCACAATATATCACTGAGGCACCAACTTGTCCTATATTTTTTATATTGCTTCCTTTCTGGTGATGGATTTCAGTTCAGGTCTCCAAATGTTCCTGGGTTAAAGCTGAAGTGAGGAGTCATGTAAACTATGAAAGACTTCATTTTCACTGTTACTAAAGAGACTAACCTATATCTTACAGTTGTGCATTTCTTAGAGGGTTTCCCCCCCCCCTTTTGCAAGATGCTAGGTAGACCAATGGGAACTGATCTAAATTTGATATTACCTCTTGCAAATGTAATGAACAAAATGCCTGTTACCATGATCATTTGAGGAAGCTGAAGAAGAAATAACTTTGAAGGTGAAGGTTCACACAGTTGTAAGAAATTAACTTAGAAACTACCAGCCTCATAGTTTAATAAGGCAGGGTATGATTCTTCATAGTGTATGGCAAGAGTGCTGGTAACCACAGCCAAAAGTAAGAGCTTGCTTTATTATATTGTCATTTACATTAAAGACTGGGACAAAGCCCTCTATGCCCTGGAACAGAGGGAGTTCCAGTTCTGACTTCTGTGGACTTAGGACTTCAACTTGGGTTTCTCATTAACACAGAAAACGTTATTTCACTTTTATATTTTCTTTCTTATTTGGAAGGTAGAAGCTGTAACAAAATAAAGTAAGGTAATAGTGGAATGAAAGGAGGAAGAACAGAAAATGTGAGGAAAAATTAAGAAGCAGTGTCCAAACCTGCTGTATCTGAAGTCAGTGGCAAAACTCTTGTTAGATTGCAGTCAGTTACTTAAAAGAATGTGTGCCTGTTCATTGCAGGTTGACCTCACGCGCACCTTCACCTTCCGCAACTCCAAGCAGACATACACAGGAATTCCCATTATAGTGGCAAACATGGACACTGTGGGAACATTTGAAATGGCTGTGGTTATGGCAAAAGTAAGTCCTGATTCTCATTTCTGCAACAATTGGGAAGCCACTGGGTGACAGCAGCCTTTGCTAGTTTTTAATTATGTTTGTTGGAGAACAGGGGGGCATGTGTTAAAAAATCCAGAACAAGAAGGTGTGGTTGCACTGCAAAGCAGCTGTGCTTTTACAGCAATACAGTTACGAGAGACAGGGCTCCAGATATAAGATAGCTTCAGTGGAGATGCTTACTGGGAAGCTTCCATCTTGGGTGTAGCTCAGCTTCAGGTGGAACTTCTGGAGCTTAGGTTTTGAGTTCTATACTGTGCTCTCTTCCAAAAAAAAAAAAAATTTAGCTGACAATGGTTTTGAAAACTGGATAAAACTGCAGCAGTCAGGATTCACTAGTTAACTAGCCTCTGGCCTCAAGGCTGACCTTAATTTCTTGCAGTGCTTAAGCACATTCAAAATATTGACCACAACTTCATGAAACGCATTAGAAACCTGATCCTGAAAGGTCGACTAAGTACACTAAGTCACCTTTGAAGAGCCGTTTGGAGTTGCCTGGTCTGCTATTCACTGTTACTGTTTCTTGCAAGCAGGATGAGCCTGTACTTAAAATGGGAATTTCTGATATCTTGTTATTCCGCAGCTGAGTGAAAGATGACTAACTTGGACATTAATATCAATTTTCTTATTTTTGCTAGCATGCAATGTTCACTGCAATTCACAAGCATTATTCTCTGGAAGAATGGAAACTGTTCGCTGCCAATCACCCAGAATGCCTTGAGGTACATTTTCATACTGTAGATTATTATGGTTTATTGCTTTGTTCTGAACTCACATACACTGGAGTCTCTTGGGGATGCTGTTGTCAAGTGAGGTTTTGGGGAATGAAGATATTTGCTGTTCTTAAATACATCAAGGGAAGTGGCTTGTCCTGGTTTAAAAAGAACAGCTATGTGAGTCCATTATGAAAGTGCTTATATTTAGATGCAAAAAAGTTAAGTTTATATATGCCTGGAATGGAAACAGAAAAGTATCCTGAACAAAGAAGAAGGAAATACTTGGGAATAGGTCTAACTGCTGTTGGGAGCTGTGGTAGTGCTGGTGAGGGAGAAGCCCAAGACCACAAATGCAAAGAGCCTTGAATAACCCAGCCACAAGCTGGCCCTGCACACCCTTGTGCTAGGCAGAGTCTTTGCTATCAGGTGTGCAAGCGGATCCAGAGCCTGCGGGCTGGAGGGGCCCAGGTGCTGGGCCCAAGCAGGGATGAGCGTTGAAAGTTGTCAGAGCATATATGTCCTCCATTTACCTCCTTCCACTAGAGCTCATGCTGTGCTACCCCACTTGTTCACAGGGTCCTAGCCTGAGCCATTACAGAGAAACATCATTTATTAAATGTAAACATTGACTGAAGTTCTGACTTTTTCATATCCAGATTTCTTCTGTGTTCTTCTGGCAGTCCCCTATACCAGGAGAGGCAGCGTAAGACCGTGCCTGGCTGTCTCCCCTCCTCCTCGGAGTTCAGTGCAGTTTTGAAACCCCTTCTGTATAGAAAAGAATACTACACAGCTGTATTGTATCTTTATCTGTGGCACATTTTAGAATTATATTATAAAGACTATTGATTACAGGATTATCTGAAAGCCAGCCTATCACTTAGGTTCATCAGGTTGCTTATATGCCAGTGTAGGGTAGAAAGTGGTCCCAAGAATATACTGTGTCTGAACACTTAGCTCATTTGTGGTTCATAATCACTGGAGTAGGATCTCTTAGTGATTAAATACTGACTTGCTCTGTGACCTTGGATCTCTGCAAAGGTTTTGTGGGCCAACATCTGTGAAACTATTTTTCTATTGGAAGGAACTCACAGGAAGACAAAGGAGGAAGCAATCTGTTTGTTTTCAATGGTAGCTGACCCTGCTTGAGCAAGGGGGTTGGACTACACAATCTCCAGAGGTGTCCTCCAAACTCAACTATTCTGTGATCCTGTAGATCAAGGGAGTGTTTGGTGAACTTAAAGACCCAGATTCCACTCTCTGACAGTGCCCCAAATTTTGCCACTCAGCCTTGCTGGAAGTATAGCAAGTTAGGGCTTCTTCTGTGTTTGTGTTAATAGGAGTACAGCTGAGCCTTCATCCATCTCAGGTGATTATATTTGCCTGTGAGAATCCATTTGTGAATAAAGAGGTGATAAAATGCTAATTTTGCTTTATTTTGGAGCCTTTAAACAAAACAGAAGTAACACATTGATATTCCCAGGAAGGTATTTATTTCATATTATATAGTATGATTTTCACTAGTTTCCAGTACAAGTCCTCCCAAGACTATGCAGAAAAAGACATACAAAGTGTGTGTTTATACCAGTTTTTACAAACTGCTACTCCCTTTTATTCTCCCTGTCTTTCTAGCATGTAGCAGCAAGCTCAGGGAGTGGAAAAGCTGATTTGGACAAGTTAAGAAGTATTCTAGAGGCCATTCCACCTATCAGATACATCTGCCTGGACGTGGCAAACGGCTATTCAGAGCACTTTGTGGAGTTTGTGAAGTCTGTCCGTGCCTTGTTCCCACATCACACCATTATGGTAAGTGTGTAGAAAGGGTGGAGGAGGGTGTGTGGGAATTCTGTCCAGGAACAGGACCCAGAGTTTGGTTGGTAGGTGTCAGAAGCTCTATGGTAGCTCCATCAATTTCCGAGTCCTCATTTAAAAAAAGGAAAGAAAGGAAGGAAGGAAGGAGGGAAGTAAGTAAGGAAGGAAGGAAAGAAAGAAAGAAAAGTCTGGCTCAAACCTCTTGTCTTCCAGACAAATACATGTGGATAGATAGCGGGCGGCTCTATTCATCTACCCTTTCAATTCAGCAAGATGTTGACTCTGAGCCAAATGACGACTGTTTATAACATGTTGGCATTGTCAGTCTTCCATTGCTGATAATTTCTGTGAGAATGTGCAATGTGTGCTCTGATACAGCAGTTCGATGTTGGCATGGCAGGCTGGGTGGATCCAATTTTCTTCCTACTCACATCCTCCTTCCCACACTAGATGTGACCTCTAAATCATAAAGTGGTAGGTTTATTTTGGTGATTCCAAGCTGAGGTTTGCTGTGGGAATGCGCCAACGTTTCTGGCCAATTGAGGCCAATGGCAGTTTTCATCTATGAGATGACTATGAAGACAGCTGAATGTAGACTGGTCCTTGCCTGTGATAAGAATCATAGGGGTGTTGTGCAATTGTGAATGGGGTCATCAGGGAGCAAAACAGTCAATGCTGGGGCTTTTCATGTGCCTTCTGTGATGTTACTGTCCCTTCTCAGAGCACTAACGCCATGCTTCCTCCAGCCCTTTTGCGCTGAGTAGGATGTTTGCATCAACACGAGACTCCTTGCAGGAGAGCCCTACTGCTCCCGCTTGTTTCCCAGTGCCCTTGATGAAATGGGTCTGAATTTGTTTCCATAAGAATAGCAGAAATTCTCAAACAAGCAGCAGATTCTTAATGAGGCTACCAGCCTTTCTTCAAGCCAGTGCAGCAAAAAATCATGTGTAGGCAACACTTTCTCACTTTTTCATTGCAGACACAAAGGTTCACATGTGTAAAGTAAATGTGAAGTAACAGTGGTCATAAATGCACACTCAGACTTGGTTCAATAGGGGACTGCATGTTCAAGCAGCTCAGGGGAGACTACATTCCTTCCTCCCATGTCAGAGGAAGGCAGTGTTCTTGCTTCTGAATGATGGTGGCACTGGAAAATGGAAGCGGGCTGGAATGCCTGTGGGGCTCTGGGTTACCATAGGTTAATGAATAGGCATCCTTCAACAGCTACCAGCAGACATGGGAACCTTTTTGGTATGGCCATATTTCCCATGGCTTCGAGGAGAGCTTTTGGAAGTAGGAAATTATAGATGTGGGCTTTTTGAGCTTCCTGCTCTATGTTCACTGCAGTGAGGGAAGAAGCTGTTTCCTTGCTTTGGATCTGAAGTATTGTCCCTAGTGACATGATTACTCCAGTGTCTTTGGCTTGAAGAGTTGTGGGATGGAGCTTAAACCACATAGTTTAAAAAAAAAAATCTTCCGTATCAGGAGTGCAAAGAAAATTGTGTGTCATCCCCTCCTCCACCTCCCCACAGACTGCTGACTTTGCTGACTGAGGAGGAAACTTAACCAAGACAAATTGCCCAGAAGGCACAGGAGGTCAATGTCAAAGTCAGGTATCAAGCCCAGATTTTAGTCCAAGGTCCTTAAGCCAGTCTCATCCACCTTCTACATCTGTTAAGCTACCTGCTTAGTTTCTCTGCTTCTGTGACTAAGGTTATTGTTACTTCATGTCTCATTGTCCTGTCAGTACCACCTGCTTGAGCACATATACAGCCCTGACCTGTTCAGTTGCCTTCTCTGATTGTAGCTCCTTTCTCTGAACATGGTTTAGTATGGCTCATGTGTTTCATCTCCTGCACAGGGATAATTTCCATTCCTAAAAGCATGCTAACAAACTTGGGCTGTTCAAAAACCTTCTGTTTTCCAAAGTCACTAGAGTCTGTGCAGTCCCTGGAAATCTCTGATTCAACTAGGGACACACACCTCTACCCCACTTGCAAATGAGTTTAGTTTACACTCTGTGCCAAAATGGCCTTTTGAAGCTATTCCTGGCTGAAATGCAGGAGCTCGTCTAGGTTCCTTTTTATGATATTCTGGAAGACGTGTCCTGCTGCTACCTTTTCTGTCTGCTTTGATGTCTCTGTGCTATGCCTGCAGTATGCTTTCTGCTGTTGTGGCTTTCAAACAAAAGAGTTAGCGGTTAAATAGAAGGTATAAAAATAAAGAAGCTTTCTCATAGCTGAAAGTGATCACCAGGACCTTGCAGGCTGTCTTGTTTGCTTTCCTCAGCATGACCGTTCATTCCACAGTCAGCTGCAGTGCAGTACGGAACAGTAACCCAACCCCGGGTCTCATGGAATGTATGTTCCCAGGGGCCATGTAATGGGTTCAGCTCTGAGGCTGAAAGGTGGTGTGCAAAGCAACTGTGGTTAGCATAGTACTCTCTGTGGCGGATACTCCAGTGCAGTTGGAGGATGTCTTTTGTGTAACAACCTTTCAAATGCCTGTTTTTGCCTTTTTAAATACTTGCTTTTATAGCCACATTACCTTATTTTCTTCTGCTTGGCTCTGACACAGGCTCTTTTCACTCCTGCCTTTCATATTAATTTACAAAGAAGGTGAATTTCTCCATGGAACACAAAGGATAGGGAAGACAAACAGGGGGACAAAGGTATAACATGACTTGCCTTCAATGACTCATTAGATCGAGGATGGAGGAAGAAGCAGTATTCAAGTCTTCTGAGTGTCTCGCAAATGCAGCACTGCCCCCCACAGAATCAAGAGTAATGGTCCAGTGGGGTGTTTTGCTGTAGCACAGTATCATGTGCTTGGGTTGTGCCTACTCGGTGTAGTCTAAAGCAAAACGTCAGTTGACATTCATGATGGAGGGTCAGAGCCTTTATATTACAGTAAGTGTAGTCCTTATTTGTGTAATTGTAGACGTTAGGGTTCTTCCATTTCACTGGAAGTCTGTTTAGCAAGCTGTCTTCGCCAGCAAGCTTTGCCAAGTTTTTATCCTGAATTTTTCTTTTCGTAGTGTTCTCTGTCCATTATACAGAAGAATCCCTAGGGAGGGGAGCCGGAAGTGTGGCAGGAAGGACAAGGCTGAGGCAGGAGCACACTTGCAGATGCAGTAGCACCCACCCAGAGAGGGAGGCAAGCAGAATCGCAAAGCCAAGAGCAGAGGGAAACAGCAGGGGCCAGAAACTGTTGCTCCTCTTGGAGTCAGTAGCAGAACTTCTCAGGGCCTTAATGGAGGCAGAATTCAGTCAGAGAAAGCCATGCAGACTGCTCCCAATTTCTCTCTGGAACAAGCAGCATCAGAGTCAATCCAGTCATGGCATGTCCACCAGGGCTGGGGTCTCAGAGCAGGGGCCAGCTGGGATCCCAGGGTGGGAGACAGTGATGCTGCCTTGGGTCAGTCACAATACTGAGTGCAAACACCCACCTGGTGGGTGCTCAGCCTCGCAAAGGGCATCATCTCTCCATCTTACGGTAAAGCACTCCTTGCTTTGGTGGGTGGGAAGTGTCCTTTGGCAGTGTTCCTGATAGTGTGGAGGCACAGACTGTGCTTTCCTCTAGGATACAAGAAGAAAGTTTGAGAACTGTTGTCACAGACACTTATCCCCAGCTTGATCCATTGCCATTTGCCAGCAGCTTTCAATCAGTGCAGCAGTGTTCCTGTCTTAGTGTGAGTCGATATTTATAGCAGGCTTTTATGAAGCACAGTATCAAATGCCTGACTGAAATTCAGAGACACTGCCCTACTGTGTTCACTAATTTTGTATCTTTGTCAGAGAAGCTGTAGCCTTTATAATCCTGTTAGGTAAAATCTTGATCCCATTAAAGTCAGTAGTGAAACTCCCTTTGACTTAGTATTCTGAGGCCAGGATTTCCCTCAGGACTGACCCACAGTTCAGTCATCCTGGGTACTGCTGGGATGAGCCAGGGTGATGCTCACTTGAAACCTCACACTGAGTGATGGTACAGCCGAATGTCACCCTGAGTGTGGAAGGCCAGGCCCACAGCCAGGATAATTTGTTGTAGCACCTAATAACTGACTGCACTGAAAGCATGGTAGTTTACCTGACTTGCAGTTGTTACTGATGCTGTTATTTTACTGTCAGGGGTAGCAAAGTTAGATTAGCAGTAAGGTAATTACTGGGCTATATCTCCTTCAAGAAAGCCAGTTCTGCAACAGATTAGAAATGAATTGGTACATGGGCTTATCATTAAAATGAGCATGGTTTTCACTAACACGGTACTTCCACCAATTACTATGTTCCCTTACTACTTGCCCAAATACACTACAAAATGTATTGTCTGTAGTGACTTCTGTGTACAAGTTCCAGTTACTTTACTTGCGTTATATGCTTAGTTAATTTTAAGGGGATTTAATCTCTGTAGTCTCAGTATTTACCTTTTCAGATTTTTTTTTAGTTGATGTATTCTGGCTTTACCTTACAGGTGGGGCTTTCAAAAGTCCTTTTGCCTGTATTCAACTGTCATATTGGCATCGATGGTAAAGCAAGCATTGGTTTCAGTGGAAGCAGAGTTCAGCTTTCCCTGCTCTTCAGCTGTGGTACTAGGGTCTCTTCACACACAGATAGCTGTGCCTCTCTGGTAGTGGTTTTTTGTGTTCTCTGAGGTCTGCAAAGGGTACCTAAAAGAAGCAAGCCTGTCATCAGCAGGTTGAAGTCTGCTGTGTAGAGCTCCAGGTCTTCACTGAAAATTTGTTAAGGATCTGCAGATTCAAAAAGACAGAAACCACTGATGTGTGTACATGCATTCCAGGAAAAAATGTATGCTGGGGACATAAGTGCTTTTCCCTGCTAGGATGAGCATTTTGAATCAACATATGCAGTTCCAACATTCTCTAGCAGTAACTTAACATTAAACGTCTGGTTAGCATTTCTGAAAAGACAGTTTGACAACCTGCTATGCTCTGCTAATAAGAAGACACTGCTATTTAAGTTAAATACATATTTGATCCC